ATCGCAGCTGTGACTTTTTATTCTGGAGAGGCGTTAGCTGTACGACAAGGATCTCTCGGATATCTGCACTCATGATTTTGTTCAGATGCGTGAGGCCAGCGATTCAACTCAGAAAGCCGATCTGAGCCGCTTGTCCCTCATTTTCGAGCCGGTTTACAGGCAGAGCATCTGCAGCAGAAAGCGCATTCGCTGAAAGCTAACATTGTGAGGAAACACGTATAAACTACAGTAGTAGTTAAGTAGTCCAGACTGCGACAAAGACAGTAGTTTCCGTTACAGTTGTAATCGTGGCTTTACAGTACGTCGGCTATGGATTTTCACGCGAACGAGTACTGACGAACCCGCGGCTGTAGGTAGGCTGTGAAAAAATTACACGCAACTGCCTGGAGGTTAACGAAGCTTCGAACTGCCTGACACGCCATTCAATGAACTCATTTATTAATCTGAAACTGGGACTTCTTTGTTTTGCCCAAGACGATCGCAGACTATGATTACCCTTCTTGACAGAACGTACTGACCAGTTTTTACGGCCATACAAGCGTCTGTCGACGATCTGGAATCATGCACAAGAACGTCAGGTGTAAGTTGATCGACGGCATTCGCGTGAAGCCGTCCCGCCAAATCCTCTCGTGTACACGGCTTGCGACGCTCGATGACGATCACCTACAGTCAGCATGTGGCCACCGGGGGGACAGGGCACTTTTTGGCTCTGTTGCTGTGGTGGAAGGGAAGCATATACCGGCTGCTGTACAAAGAATTCATCATCTACATGGTTCTCTACTTCGCCATCAGCCTGTTGTACCGTTTCGGATTGAACGAAGGAGGCAGAGAGTAAGTTGAAACCGACAGTACGGTCCACAGTAACAACCGGCTTGGTTGGGTTTGGATGAATGCGTCCTCAAATAGGAAATACATCTGCTGAAATAACATTGAAACCATTGTAGACCGAAATCCGATGTAATTCGTATAGACAGTGCTGTAGATGGAAAACTGGGGTCATCTGCCTGCAAGATTGGCTGTTCTCTCGAAATGAGTTTGTGCTTTTGGTGTTTAATCATCAGTACTAAGGTGAGGTACTGTTTTCCTCATTCTGCAATTTCCCTTGTCACGGGAATAGCAGACTCAAGAATATTCTATTGAGGTAATGATTTGAATTTCACTACTTCCAGCTACGACCTCGTTCAACCCTTTTGAAGCACAGCGTTGCCGAAAATTTATCTGGGATAGCAGCTCTACCATTCTGGGTATGGGGCACTGAAAATGGGACAAGTACTGCCCCGCAGCTGTCCTCTCTATAACGGGCAGAACCACATCTCGACTGCCTTTCGTTAGTGTAGACCCTGACCACTACTAAGACTTGTCTAAGTCCCCTGAACACCAGCAGAAGAGAGTCAAGTGAGTTAGTAGTCCATTTTGCCCAAGCAAGTCACGTGAAGCGAATCAGGGTAGTATTATCCGCCAATGCCAAGGTGCAAAATTCGTAATGACAATACGGAATCAAAAGAGTTGCAAGGCTGTATGTAGCGATGCACTTTTCGCCTGCTCCAGACGACCTGGACCTCGTTTATTCTGGGTCGATTTTTATGCAGTATTTGTTGCCTCAACATAAATAATATTCCTCAGAACTGCTTATGCCGATTTTGAGGCAGGAATTGTTATGCATCAGAACAATCTCAGCAGATGGTAGGGCGAAGGACATGGGTTGGTGTCATTCATAGTAAATTATTAATTAGGTTTCCAAGGTGTTTTACCTTCTGATCTTTGTTGTCCTGTCATCACTAAGGTGCGCCTTGCTGTTTTTTCATTCTTGAGCTACATCGACTGTGAGTTTCGTCACTTTGCTGAAGACAGATTGCAAACTCTAGCCGAAACTTGCGCCCATCCGCACAGTTTGCTTGTGCATATACAAAGCAACTTTCTTATATTCCACTGCAAGCGATCTTCAAAGGTTAGCGCCGACAGTGGCCTCCAGTACATTCGTTATCGTTTATGATCACAGTAATCATCTGCTGCCCATCTTACCAGTAACAGTTTAGCTGTCATTCATTGATTACCCCCCCCACCCTCCCAGTTCGTTAAACGGCTGATTTCGTAATTCATGACAAGTGGTACTTAAGCTATCGCACATATATAGTTGCAACTATTGTTAATTCGCCAAACTTCTGGAAAAAGAGGTAGGGTTGCTCTGCTAATTCAGCTCGATTTAAACAAACACTCCTGGCATCGTCAATCCACAGGCTATCCAGTGAAACATCAATCACAGTATTTAAGTTATTATCATTCCGTCCATAGTTGAGCACAATTCGAATATGGATATGTATGTAAAAAGACGCCTGATTGTGGTCACACAATGCAATCAACAACGTCCGCAGTGTTCGCGATGCGAAGTAAATGAATACATCGAGAAGGCCTCAGGTGACCTAGCTAAAAGTTGACTTAACTTGAGCGCTTAAGTGGCTACCCACCTTGATCAAGAAATGAATGGCCCCGCGGCTGAACTAAATGATCAACGCTCAAGTACTTAGCTGTCAACAGGGCCAAACGTTTCCTCTTCATATTCACCTCAACTGAGGTCATCTGTGCTCTCACGCGAATAGAGTCATTCGTCACGTGAACTTGTCACTTCAGTCATCCCTTCATGTCCATTACTGCTGTACATCGTTAGACCGTCGACAAGAAAAGAGGGACGGAGTTTTGTGAAAAGCGTTTTCTCCTCAATCCACAAAAACGATGTACAGATTTTAGTAATCCTGCCACTTGACTTTGGCTGCATGGTGTCATGGCAGCAGGTACTTGCAAATAGGTCAACTTGCACTGTTTTCGACTACACTTCGAGTGGCCGCGCCTCTGAACCTGCAACAGGCAACGTCAACGTTAATCAGGTTTTGCATCGAAGGCTAGAAAAACAGGACGTCTGCTTTTCCTTGAGAAAACAAACGATGTTTTGTGTTGAGCTGCCACCGAAAGAACGACGTGAAGACACAAGACTGGCAAACGTTCTTCCTGCCGTACTTCTGTTCCGGGGCCGACTGTCAACCCCTAGAGCCCATGCCGTTCGAGCGGTAGACGTTAAAAACTGCCAATCAGAGAATGACTTCTCGCACCTGACTTTGCTCTGACTTTGAAGACCGTGCAGCACCGTGTGAAAGGGAGCGTCAGTCAGCGTTTTTAGGAACAGAAAATTGCATGGGGCAATGTACAGTCAAAATGATTACTGTAATGGTCATAGCCTTATTGAAACTCCAAAAATTTTTTTCATGACAACCGTTCAAATGTCCAACGGTTCAGCACAAACGAAAATGTCGTTCAGCATGAGATCCCGCAGTTTTAGACTCAGCTCACCAAACAGAAGGCCTAAAGCAACATCAGCCAGATAATCACCTCACTTATTTATCTTGTCGTAAACTGATGGCTCAGGACATTCGCCTTCAGTTGGGATTAATATGACTTATTCATTTGTGGTGGGAAGGGAGGAAATGATCGCAACATAAGCCATTCATCGTCATTATTCTATAGAATATGGTTAAGATAGTTGCTTTGCTGTAATTCTTTTAATTTCTAATCACCCTTCTCGTTAGATCTTTATAGCCATATCGTCGTCATATAAGAATTATGATAACCAAGGGCCGCGGTCTAACTGTTTCTCCTACATGCAGACACAAAGTAGGTTCAAAGCTGCTGAAAGCATACTGTTTGAAAACGAAGCGAAGGTGAACGACCCACAGTACGAAAACAGTGCTTGATGATTGGCTTCCAGCTTGTGGAAAATTCGACCGTACACGTCTGACTAATAGATCATTGACGAGTCTGTCGGTGGCAGTCCGAAAGTATTTTTTTTTGATACTGTGGACACAACTCGCTCCGACCATCGATCTTCATATCGTTCGCGTTTGGCCATCGCTTCGGTATGCAAACCATGTGCTTCCCACAGGCATCATCGCCCCCATTTCGTTCGCTACTTCCGGAACAGAAAAATTCCACAGAAAAGCAAATGAACGCGTTGCTTAGTCAACATCCATATCGAATCTGCATGGATCTTGTCTTAATTCCGGTTTCGCTACGTTTAACGACATTCATTTACGACTCGGAGCGAAATTACCGTAACGCGCTAAAGCACCTCCGTAATGATTGGCCGACCGACCAGGACCGTACTAATCTACAGTCTATCTTATCATCGAGTCAGGAAGAGTCATCGCCGATTGATTAGGAAGCAGAGGGTTAATAGTTGAATTTCGAAATTAACATTAAATTTACTACAAACATTACCGTCTAAAATTTGCAAGTGTCCATCCCAGACAAATATGAATTCAAGACAGCAGCAGATTTGTGAACCTCCTGTTTAGCAGTTTACCGCTTGGAGAGTTTCACGGCTCATGGCAAATCTTTGGGACGATCTTGAGAGCGGAACAGGGTGCACTCAGCTGCTACTCATCCCGATGGGCAGCCACAAGCGGTAAAGTTCCATCAAAGACAATAAAGGGCTGGCTGAGGGTGAAATGGCTCAATAATCAACACTCGGAATCGTACGCGTCTTAATCCCAATCAAGAAGCCTGCCACATTGAGGGGTCGCGTAAGGAACACATTGTTACCGCTACCTCACGACACGAAAGGAATGGAATGTTTAAAAAATGATTGAACGACCGTCGATAGGCATCGTTCAACAATTCTCTTTAAATTTTTATAAAATGTCGTGTCTTATGTCAGGTAGATTTTCCCTTGACTGAATGTGACAGACTCCAATTCCTCAGCAAAAGAAGGTGAGGATCATTCTCTTAAATCATGACAATGCGTTATGAACATTACACAAATTGCAGCAAATGCTTGTTTTTGACATTGTTGCCAGAGACAACGATTGATACTCATCAATATTGGCAGTTACGCGGTAAATTCACAGTTGGCAAAAAGAATTTCATCGGACTGTCATGAAGAACGGCCAAAAGATATTGAATTAAGCGTAGAACGTTTACATGTAAATGCTAAAAATATGAAAATACATTTTCTTTGTACCATACCACTGTTGGCTCGGGAAATGAAGAGCTTCAGATATGAAAATGTAACGAAGACCGACATTCCGACACCTATGAACCTCTCTCCCTTTACCTCCTTCCCTGAACAATTGACTCATTTACATTGCTGTCTCTGCATGCTCATACAGCTTTCGCCTGTGCACAAACGCGTTCTTTACCAAAACTAACAATACCCCGTTATCCTACTTATATATACTTAATGTCTCTGCGTAAAACAGACCCAGCTTAAGGTTTGATCCGGACAGTCATTTGATAAAAGCAGTCGATCGCTAGTGCTCGTCATTTCTGGAACCAATGAATTTCTATAGCAGATATGTTGCGGTGATTCTGGTTCGAAAAAGGAAGATTAGCTAACGGGTAAGAGCTGCAGCATGAGTCGGCAATGCAATTCATCAGCGAAGAAGTTCTCACCGTGATTTTCAGGCAGTTATTAAAAAACACGCCATCGCTGAACAAAAATATATAGAATTTGGTTCAAAGAGGCAGAAAACGGCCTGGATTTCGAAGGACCTCCAAGGTCTGATGGTAAGGCAACTGGAAACGAATTTCAGAAGACAGAGTTTGGTGGTGGGTCTAAAAAGGCGTCTGGTGATGGTTTTGACGGTCAAAAGTTTCAGTGCTATCCTGTCAACTTGGCAGGTATGCAGTATTGGCATGGTCATATGGGAATAGTCAATACTCAGGGTTCTATTTTTCAGGG